CTGGCTATTCTCCAGATTTCTTGGCACAACTTAGTGAGCACATCCAGGCCAGTGTCTGTCTGTTGAAAAATGTCAATTGGTATACCGTCAGCTGAAGGTGGAAAAATTAAGTAAACCCTATGGACTTCTTTTTTGTCATGAATAAGTAGAAACATAACAATGGACTCAGAATGTTGCTGTATTAATGAGAGTCCACTTGAAAGCCTTTTAAAAAAATATTAAACATTAGTTACTGGAATAAAAGATTAATTCAACACAATGATTATAGGGACTGTAAAATTTTACTTATGAGTTACTTACAATTTAACATGATGTCAACATTTAAGTATGACAGTAGTAGAAACTTAGATATCAACTGTCTTTACACTTTGACTGAGAGTTTCCTGAAGTTCCCAACATTTTCCACAGGTGCTTATTTTTTAAATCTCTGTTACTTTTATTCTTTCTTCTTTCTTCTATTACTTCCCCTCAGTTCATTATTTCTGTACTTATTTTCTTCTCTATTCTCTCTTGTTCATAAGATATCTTTCTCACGATACCAATCAGCTGTATAAAACCCTTGGGTCTAATGAACTATATATCTCTTGAGTCAATGCCTCTGTAATTATTTTGCCTTTTTCTCCAAACAGGAATCTATTTCTTACTTTAAATACTATATGTAATCACCTCTATTAATGACATTTTAATTTCTTCCAATGATTGTGAAGAGACCTTAGAAATAGGCCCTGAAATGTGGAAGTGATGGTCAGGATCACAGATAATTTGTAGAAGAGCAGGAGCTAGCTGACATGGAATCATTCTGGAAATCATTGACTTTAGAAAGGTGCTATCATTTTACATTAAATCTTATCTTGCTTTCAGTTTACCTAGAAGACAACCCTCTTCCAAAAGTGTTACGGTACACTCATTTCTTTGGAAAATAGTTTTATAGTTCAAGGCTTACTCTCCTGGATAAAACAATTAAACAATTGTAGCCATTGAAGTAGAAAGAGCATTAAGAGCTTCTCACTTCCAGCTCTCAAACAACAAAAAGATGCTCAAACTTTGTGACTACTTTCTACCAAGGACTACTTTCTACTGATCAATTGTTCTTCCAAGAAGAGGATGAGGTTCAAATATTACTGACAATTGTACTGCCCCCCTTTCCCCCTGCTTAGCTCAAGTTTCTGCATTTCCATACTACCTTTCTCAAAGCCTCTTTCATGTCTTTGTTCCTTAGGGTATAAATCAGAGGATTGAGCATAGGAATAATTATACCATAAAAAAGAGTAACAAACTTTCCCTGACTCTGGGAATAATTATGTGTGGGTTGAAGGTATGTGTAGATGGCTGAGCCATAAAAAAAGGAAACCACTAGGAGGTGTGACCCGCAAGTCCCAAATGCCTTTCTGCGTCCAGAAGTTGAGTTGACTCTCAGCACTGCCTGAGTAATGCCTCCGTAGGAGCCTAATATTAGTAATACAGGGACCAGCAAGATGATGACTCGGACTACAAACATCTTCATTTCTGCCCCTTGTTTATCCTCACAAGCCAACTTCAGGAGCACAGGCATCTCACAGATGAAGTGATTGAGTCGATGGAAGCCACAGAGAGGCATGGACATCAGGAGGCATGTCTGAACCAGAGAATTTATGAATCCTCCAATCCAGGAGATAGCAGCAAGTGTTTGGCAGAGGCGTGGGTGCATAATGGCTGTGTAGTGGAGCGGTCGGCAGACAGCAGCATAGCGGTCAAAAGCCATCACCACCAGAAGCACAGACTCAGTGGAACCCAGGGCAAGGGAGATGAAGAGCTGAGCCACACAGCCTCCATAGGTGATGGTGTGGTCTGATCCATGAAAGTTGATCAGAAACTGTGGCACAGTGCTGGAGGTGTAGCAGAGGTCCAGGAAAGAGAGATGACAGAGGAAAAAGTACATGGGTGTGTGCAGCCGAACATCCACACGGGAGAGGATGATGATAGTGATATTCCCAAAGAGAGTTAGAGAGTAGAAAACAGAAATAAAGACAAAAAGGACTAATTCCAGTTGTGGCCAATCTGAGAATCCCACCAAAATGAAGCCTTCTCCAAGACTAGTATTGAGTCTTCTTGTGGTTCTTATGGATGCTAAATGCACTTCAGGTGAGGCTTTAAAAGAAAATAATGAACATATAATTGGACAGTGAAAGGATAGTTTTCTTTAAAAAGGAAATTATCAATATCTTGTCCTAATGATCAAATGTTTGGTGCATATTAGAATTGGTAGGTAATGAACTGGGGTATCTAGTTAAGGATAATTCTAAGCAAGATCTTAAAACAGTTACATAGTTTATCTTTGATACTTACAGTGAAATGTAAGAGGAAAAGATCAATTATGTGAAATATTCAAAATGAAAATAAATGGTTTGAAAAATCTGGGTATGATTTCAAATCAAATATTCACCAAGGAATGGCTACATAATCTTTTTCTTAACTAGATTAAGCTTGTGACTTACAAATTAATCAATCAACCACACCACAGCAGATAAGTTACCAACTTAGGGCAAAGGAAACAGGAGAAAAGACAAAAGGAAAGGAGATTGCCTTTTAGAATCTACAGTCAGGAAATAGGCCATATATCCAGTAGGTGTCATCTTTCAATAAAAGATAGAAGCTACTCAGAGATCAGGAAGACTGATGATTTGAACAAGTACAGGCAGGAACACTGCCTTAGCATCAAAGTTTTGGCTATAGTCTAATGGAGATAAAAAGAAGTAGGACCACAATATTTTGTGATTCAAAGATCTTTGCCAACACACAATATGTGGCTGAACTTAAGGTGTACCAGGGCAATGGAGCTACTGCTCAAAGTTGAAGGACAAGACTACCATGCTCAAGGTGCAAAAGATTTGTGCCCACCAAGATGGGAAAAGCTGCATTCTCAGTCAGATAAACTAGAATGGAGCCACTCCAAGCCATTGGAGCAAAGGGTGCTATCCCATTGGCTCTGGAAAGCAAAAATAAAGTCCAGGACCAAGAGAACGGCCACTTTCAATTCAGAATGTCAGGAGGGTAGGGGTTGGGGTGAGGGACGGGATAGTGCCTAGATGTTGCCTAAAAAACCTCCAAGATTATATAAGCCTAGAGAGCTATTTAAAATTATTTTGCTGGATTTGGGGCTTGTTGGGAACCTTTAATCTCTTAATTCCCTTCAATTTTCTCTGTTGTAATGGAGGTTAGAAAACCTTGTTTATGATCCACAGCCATTATATTTTGGAAGCAAATAGTCAATAGTCAATAGTCTAGACTTCACACATCCAGAAATGAAGAGGAAGTTTTTTCCAAGATGGAATGCACCTAAAATTTCACTTTTATTTTAGGGATGATTCAGAGAATGAGAATTTGGACATGGTATGGATTTAAGAGATTTGGAATGATGTGCTAGGTGAAACATGTGATAAAGGCAAAGTTTAGAGGGCAAAGGGTAAAATGCTGTGAATTGAATTGCACCCTCCAAAATATGTGTTGTAAATCCTAACTTTGAATTTATGAATAAGGATTACAGAAGAAGAATTGATGTCTTTGAATTGTGGTGTTGGAGAAGAGTACTGAATAGCCTATGGTCTGCTGAAAGTCTATCTTGGAGGAACTAGGTGCTCCTTAGAGGTAAAGATGGTGCAACTTCGCTGCCCAGAGCATCATCCCTGCATCTATTGGTGCTGCCAAGTTCACCCCTGAATTGAATGTGAAACTTACCAGCATGGCTTTCCCTGTCCCCACCCCCAATGTGTCAGTGTGAACCTGTCCTGCCATCTGAAGAAAGTGGCCAGATATGATAACATCAAGAAAGTAGTAAATCAGACATCAGAAGGGCCCCTCAAGGGCATCCTGGGATACACTGAAGACCAGGTTATCTCCTGTGACTTTAATAGTGACACCCACTCTTCCACCTTTGATGCTGGGGCTGGCATTGCTCTGAATGACCACTTTGTCAGGCTCATTTCTGGTGTGACAATGAATTTGGCTACAGAAACCAGGTGGTCAACCTGATGGTTCACATGGTCTCCAAAGAATAAGATCCCCTTGGACCACCAGCCCCAGCAATAGGACTAGAAGAGAGAGAGACCCTCAGTTGCTGAGCTGTCCTTGTCCCAACTTGATACTCCCCCACACTAAGAATCTCACATCTTTCACACAGTTTCCATAAAATCCCCCTGAGAAAAGGCAGGGACTTGGAGAGCCCATCTTGTTATATACCATCAATAAAGTACTCAGAAAAAAAAAATGGTAAAACTTCTTCCCACATACTTTGAATGTGTTGTCAGGAGTAACTACTCCTTAAGAAGGTAAATCATATTGAAAAGATAAAAGGTCCGAGAAAGAGGAGGACTCCCAGCAAAGTGGATTGACAGAGTGATTCTAACAATGGACTCGAGCACGGATGGAGCAGGATGGGGCAAGCAAGGTTCAGTTCTGCTGTTCATAGAGTTGTGGCTGACTTCATGGCACCTAACATCAACAATGTCAGTAGTCACAATCCCATGTGGGCATGGACTGTCTCTGTTATTAATGAACCAAGATTAGTGAAGGGTGTTATCTGGAGTCTCTTTCTTTTACAATATAAAGAGATTAAATAATTTAGAAAGCAGAAGTGAGGGAAAATACGTATCAACCCAAATGATGATACTCCAAAGCAAAAGCACAAGGACTTTTCTCCTTCAGAGTCTACACAGAGAAAGGTGTTCCCTAGCATCTGCAATCTGAACTCAAGCTTCTAGTCTCCTAAACTGTGGGGAACCCTTGTGGCATAATTCCATTCATTCTTTACCAGATAGGCAGAAGATCTTCAATCATTAAGATTTACAGCTTTAGAAAAATCAATAGGTCACTAGTGTCATAGTCATCTCAATAGCAGAGAGTTTGAATTGTTTTCTTTCTTTTTTGGTATATTGTGAGAATATCAATTTGTGAAAGCCATTCACTTTTCATATTTCTTCACCGGAACAACTATGACACTTCTCTTAGTTTTTGTTTTTTTTTTAACCTGTCAAATAACAGAAAACAGTTTAATGCAATTTAAGAAGAACACTAACCTGTGTTTTGAAAATAATTAAGCATTCAGCTGAGAGTAAAGGATGGGTGGTCTCCTTATGAAAGATCACAGCCACTGAAAACACTACAAAGTACAGTTCTACTCTGAAACACATGGGGTTTCATGAGTCAGAATTGACTCTATATAATGTGTTTCAGAGTATTCTCTAAATACTCTCAAATCAGGTATTTTATTTTGTGCATTGCTTTTCAATTATAGTTTGTCTAAACTTATTGTTATCTTATATTCCCCTTCTACAGAGTGGATATCAATAAATTAAGAATAATAGGGCTTTCAAAATCGAGAAAGGAGTGCATTAGGAATGTGTCCTGTCTCCATACCTTTTAATCTCTATGTAGAACAGATCATTGGGAGGCTGGATTTTATGAAGAGAAACATGGCATCAGGATTGGAGGAAGACTTATCAACAATCTGTGTCATACAGATCACACAACCTTACTTGCCTAAACTGAGGAGGACCTGAAACAATTGCTGCAGAGGCTCAAGGACTGTAATCTTCAATATGGATTGAAGTCCAACATCAAGAAATGAAGATTCTCACCACTTGGCCAATTGGCAGAACCCTGAGAGATGGTGAAGAGTTTGAGGATGCTAGCAATTTCAGCTTGCTTGCTCGGCTCCACAACTAACAATCTGGGCATGAGTAGTCAGGAAATCAAAAGAAGAATTGCTTTGGGGAAGTCTGCTTTCAAGGACTTCTCCAAAGTGCTAAAGAGTAATGATGCCATTCTAGGGAATAAGGTGCATCTGATTCAGGCCATAGTCTTTGCAATTAGATCCTATGCATCAGAGAGCTAGACAATGAATGCCTACGGATGACAAAAGAATCAATGCCTTTGAGGTATGGTGCCGGAGAAGAGTATTGAACATATCATGGGTCACCAATAGAACCAGAAAGTCTCTGTTGCAGAGGGGAAAACAAGCTGCCCCTTGGAGGCAAGGATTTTAAAGCTCTGTCTCACATACTTTGGGCACTTTGCCAAGAGGGATCAGTACTTGGAGAAAGACATCATGCTCAGAAGGGTGGAGGGATAGCTGAGGAGAAGAAGATGATGGATGAGACAGATTGACATAGTAACTGGAGTAATGGGGATAGTTGTGTCAGAGTCACAAGACTGGCTCAGGATAGGGCAGGGTTCAGAGTTATTGGTACATAGGACCACTATGGGTCAAAGGTGACTCGATGGCACATAACAACAACAACAACAATTTGAACACTATTTTTGATGCTTGCTTGTTCCATGAGTTCTACTAGAACCCTTCATAACATAGAAATTGTATTTCCTTGTCCTAAAGCAGAAATGATGCCTTTCCCACTTTCACGTTTTGTTGTGAGGATCTAATATAATAATACAAAAATTTCTATTAAAAATCTAAAGTCTACTGTCTGCTACCACTGCAGGTACTGACTACAGTTCCCAGAAGTCTTGGGGAAATGCCATCTTTGTAAACTTGGACTTTGCTGGGAGATCTGCAAGGACACCAGAGGCAGTTCCAGGCCAGGGCTTGTGACCCAGACACCCCACACCTATTTAGGAAGACAATCATATTTGCTACATCTATAAGATTTATCAACCTCCCCTGAAATATTCATGTACCATTGAGGATTAAGTTACGTGGGGAATCAAACTGGTTTCTGGCCTGAGTATGTGGGGCCCACTAACTCATACAACAGGGAGATCCTGAGCATTTCCAAAGATTGGGGAAGCTATTCCAGAAAGGGAACAACAGACTTCCTCCTTCATTATTTAGGTTCTCCTGAGGCCCTTCCCACGTGTATCAGTGTGCGCTTCCTCCCTCCCCACTCACGTGAGCGTTGGAGTGTGCACGCACCCTCTATGCATTTACTCTTATTTCTGCCCAATCTTCTTCTGGAGCAGTGATGTCAAATCAAAAACCAGCTACCACCTCAGACACGAAGAACTCTGCCACACCAATGGCCTGTAGAAAGCAGAGTGCTTCACTTGTCCCACCAGCCCAAAGCAAGATATCAACCCCCATAGAAGACACAGTAGCAACGGATTTCCTGGAGCCAGAAAGCCTGATGGATCCTTCT